GCAACTAATTCATCTTTCTTGAAACTGTTGTTCTCGACTACCTTCTCAGCTCTATGTATTTTCCAGCTGAAACCATCGTTTTTGGCAACATGTTCAGCAGAGCTGAATATTCATTTTTCCTGATGTGAATACTCTACGGCCTCCAAAGGCAAAGAAATGAAGCCGTAGTGAGCTGTGAAAGGCCACCCCAATGAAGCTCCCGAGTCACAATATCAATTAAGAGGGAAAGCGGGTTGTTCGAATCTACCCGGTGGCTTGAAGCATTCGGCGCAGTGTTTTTGGGAGTTCGTTTGCGACGTGAGTATATATATATATCTAGTCTCAAATAAGCATAAGAGCGAGACCTCTATGGGGTAACCTCTTCAATCTCTTCGAACCACTTACTGTACAATCTCATTCAATTCGGCAGTAACACGTCACACACCCCCTGTGCCGCGACGAATTTTTGTCTCGGTCACGGGTCACGGCGCCCAGTGCCGAATGTAAAATTTGTGACACCCAGGTCAAATCTCTCTTGGAGCTGCAAAAATGGCAGAATTTTCGAAATTTTCCGTCTTGAATGCCGGAATTTTGTAAGTGTCGCGCCAAATTTTGTTGAGCGCTGAAGTGCCGAATCGGTATTTTCGGTCACGGGTCACAACCATGCCAAATTGAATGAAATTGTACAGTACATCCCTCAATATCAAAATCATTGCAGTCGATGAAGGCTTGAACTTAAAGCAATCAAGCTGCCGTGGGTCCTGGAGGCCGCCAACATCAAATAAGGTGTTTGCCTCGGCGGAAATAGGTGGGCCAATGGTTCGATTCCATCCGGCGCCATTCGATTGGGTGTAGCCATTTTTCTTCCTCTTGGCAAGCCCGACGTGCCGGGTAGGTCTCTGTTGGTTACTGTATGCAATGGATATGTGTATCGATCTACTTGCCGATACGCTGTTCAGATTAACTGAACCAAATTCCACAAACAAACTACCACTCGTTGGAGCTATAGGACGCTGTGGCCTCCAGAGGCAAAGAAATGAAGCTGTCGTGGGCCGTGGACACCGCCCCAATTAAATAGGCGCCGGCGAGTCATGATATTAATTGAAAGGGGGAGCGGGTGGTTCGATTCCACCCCACGGCATCAGTGGCTAGGACTAGTGTTTTAATTTCGAATACCAGCCGATGCCTCTAAGTCCTGGTTCGTTTGACTTGAGTGTATGCATATATAACGAATCACAGAGTGAGTCTTCAGGCTAACTTTCCCCGTGATCAATATTTATGTAGTCGAACCTCCAGCTCCCAATTGAGCTACATCCAGCTCGATATTCAAATCATCCAAGGCTATACACTTCAAAGGCGAAAGAATAAAGCCGTGGGCCGAGGAGGCCACCTCCATCGAGTAGTGAAGTTTTCGTGGATGCCGAAAGGGGAGCCGGCGGTTCGATTCCGCCCGGTGCAGTATTGAGGTTCCAGCGCTTTTTGGCAGCTTCCCAGGGCCTCTTCAATACTTGATGCTCGTCGAAATACAACTTTGAGTTCAATATAGAGGCCCGCAAAGTTAAACAAAAGTGGGTGTTGGGTTAGGGCTCCCAATGGATATAATTGCAGCTATATTCGAGCTATTTGGAAATATAGAGGCCCACCTGGAAGGAACAAAGCCATTCACTGCGTTCCGATCCCTCCTGGACAGAGTTTGCTATATCTGTCTGGATCTGTCTGGATCTGTTTAGGGTCTGTCTAGGGTCTCTCTAGCCTAATTCTAGCTGCCAGACACACCCTAGACAGACCCTAGACAGACCGACAAAGTCTGGGAGGGTAAACAACTGAAACATCAACACTTTTGCGCAACAGAAGGGGAATGTGTTAGAAAAGTATTTTGAATTGCCTATACACTGAATTCAGAGCCCCGAAGTCGAACGCGCCCGGTTTCGAGGCGATCGGCACAGAATTGAAGGTGCTAGAGGGAAAAGTAATTCAGCACCACAAAAGTGCCTAAAACTGAAAAAAAGTGCTCACGCCTTATGTTCCGCAAATAGCAGTAAGTCAAAACTCTTCAGCACCCAATAAATATATTCAGTCAAATATATTTGTTTTTAAACATTTGTAAACATTTACAAAAAAATTTTGAGCTGTTTACCGTTTAGTTTATGGGCCTTTATAAATGAAAACTAAATGTTTGAAGCCTTAGATTGGAAGGGGGAGCTGGTGGTTTGACCCCAAGCGCGCAGTCTTTGCGTTTCTCTTATCTCAACCCGCACACCAACATCATAATTCCGGATGTGTTGGATAAACTTTAGTTGCTCTCAAACCGACACTTCAATAAAGTGGTATCTCGATCATATTGAAGTCTCTTTATAAGCGAGGGTCCTGCTCAGGGTAGGATCTTGTTACATAAGTGTTGGAGTTTAAATTTGACCTCCTTTCGCACCTTTTTAGCTGCAGGTGTCACAGACAAGCCTTGCGTCCAAGAAGTGCAATACACTCAAGGATTGGGTGGTGTGGTTTTAGCTCATAAAATGATGTGATAAAAGGCTAGCTACTATGGACAAATGCTACTCTACTTTATACTGTATAATGAACTGTGTGAACTATAGCTAAGTATATCCATGAGATAAACTATGTGCATAATAGGTGTGTGAACCATTTGGTAGCAGCATGGGAAGCTTTCTGTAACGGCATGCCTTCCTGATGCACAAGTGTTCCATGAGGCATGATATCATGTAAGAATACACGAATATGCAAAACGAATATTTGTTGCTTAGTAAGCAGGTGAAATCCTCACTATTCACAAGCAATATACATTCATAAGTCTTGTTCTATATTGTCATCAATCACAACAATGTAGAACAAGATTATCAATGTATATTGCTTGTAAATAGTGAGATTTCACCTGCTTACTAAGCAACGAATATTCGTTTTGCATATTCATGTATTCCTAATATCATGCATGCTGTTTCCCTTCTGGCATTCTATTGTGATCAGTGCTGTGAAACTTTTGAAACGAACTAGAATGACGGGCTTTTTTATAAATAAGTCACATCTGAGCGAAAGGCTATCTACCGATATTGCACCCGATCAAGGCCTCGCAGATTTCACTTCCATTTTGCGACCTTAATTCGACCAACGCTTTTTACTACCGTAAGCCAACTCCAAGCCAGAATTCAATGCCAAAAAAGGCCAACATCTATAATCTACGCATTAAAAGTTGATCAACCTCCTAAACTCCTCAGACGCCTCGCCAACGCGGGCCTCCCTCAGAGTGAGTGCCATCTTCTCTGCATTCGCACGCGAAATCGCGCTCCGTGCCCCTCGTGCAGCTGCGAATGTCGCCTTGAACTCCTCCGACGCGGCCTGCACCGTCCCGGTGATTTGCTCGTTGCTGTGGAGGGATGGGCCGAGTTGAGGGCCGGTGCGGACCTGTCGATAGATTTAATTTAACGGACGAACGGTTCAGGAAGACAGAGTAAGTAAAAGAGGCGATGAGTGAATTGACGAAGATTTGAGATTTCAGAGTGTACCTGGAAGAGCTCAATAGCCACTGGACTCGGCTCCGCAGACAAAAACGCAGCGTTGATCGGCTGCTCGGCGCCCACGGGCCAAATAATGAGTGGGATACCCTGTGTCAGGGACTCGGACATCGAGCTTGTAATGAAAAAAGTAAGCCCCGAGCGCACCTTCAAATAAATACAACTCACTTGAAGCCTCCATGCGTGAGGAACCACCCCACGGCACCGTGCTGCAGGAGGGCCCGCTGCTCGACCCAAAAAGTCGCAGATGACTCCCTTGCCACTATCGTTCACATGCTGGATGAGATCTGCGGGGAGGGAAGCCATTTGTCCTCCGAGGGAGAAAATGAATGGAAAGGCGCGCGAGAGGGTGAGTAGAGTGTCTAGGAGTGCCTCGACCAGCTGCGGCGTTGCGACTGGGAAGAAGAACGACCTTGGAGAACAAGATGAAAAATCAGGAATCGGGAGGAAACAATCAAGAATGAACGCACCCGAAGGAGATGTATAAGACGGACTTGAGTCCATACTCTCTCACCGCCCGGTCCAAGAAAGACCTGACGCGTTCGTCGGAAGGAACCACAGTGGCGCTGTCCGAGTCCGTCCAACACAGCTCATGCGCCTGCATCCCAACCGCAAAGAGCTCCTGCCCACGTTTCGTATACAACTCCCGGCAGTACGGCACCCCCACAGGCTCGAGGCAATGGCTCGTGGTAATGATAAACGCATCGACCGCCCTCGCGAGCTTCTGTCCCTGCATAAAATATGCCTGCGAGCGGGCGGCCGGCGGCGTATGCATGCCGCTCGTGGTCGTACATGTCGGGTGCGCCGGGGAAGGTGATTACGCGGCCGGAGAGCTTGTCGGTGCCGTTTGATGCTTCGACGACCTGTGTTTGAATTTACTTAGTTTACAGCCAATCGTGACATGGATCCTGCTGAGGACGAACGAATGGGAATGAACCTGCTGCACGATATGGTTGCACAAACCAAATAATAATCGTGCTCCGACGCGCCCGCCTGTGTGAAATATAGCGTAGGCGCACAGAGTGAAGAACACGTCAGCTTGCCCTTGCTTGAGAAATCAGTTGGCATGAATACTTGATGGTACTTGTGAATTTGAACTTCCAAATCACAACCCAACACATTTGAATCATACAGGCTATGAAGGCTGACACTGTACCAATCAAGCCGTCGTGGGCCATGGAAGGCCACCCCCATGAAATGGATTTGACGTCTTCAGGTTGATCTGGTGAGGAGGAGCCGGTGGTTCGATTCCACCCGACGGCGTGCGGAACAAGCGCAGCTTTTTGGCGTTCCGCAAATCAGGTGAATTTTTTGAGTGCTTGGGTGAAATGCACATGGATTATATCCCTGCCTGTATAGGTCACCGCTCGCGGTGACTTTGGCCCGAGTACCATCATTTCCTTTACGTTACATACTTGAACTGGACATCGCTCATCCCAATTGATACCTCCAGTCCCCGACATTCACCTGGAATATAGGTATAGAAGAGATGCAGCCGTCGTGGCCCGTGGAGGCCGCCCCTACCCAATAGGCTTTCCTTGTTGATCTTCAAAACTTGAAGGGGAGCCGGTGGTTCGATTCCACCCGACGGCATCCTTAGGGGGCGGACTATAGTTTTCTACTGAATATCAGGCAGGTCCTTTCTTGCATATCCGACCCCCAAAGCGATAGGAATCAGGTTCACTCCCTTGGTGATCAATTGGTCATTCAACTCTGCTCCCAATCGAACCAAGTCTAAATACATACTATCCAGGCCCAATATCTAACCAGTGGCCAAAATCCAACGGCAAGGTCCAAGCTACTTCAGTTAATGAAGGCCCGACACTATACGTGCAACGAATGTGTCTCTGTGATCGATTGAGCAGGCCCTCTCCCAATCAAACCCTTCACAGCTCGCAACACAGTATGGCCTACTCGTCCCAAAGGCAAAGAAATAAAGTCGTCGTAGACTGTGGGGGTCGCCTTCAGCAATGAAGTCTTTATTCAAGTGGAAGGGGAGGCGGTAGTTCGAGTTCTCGCGGTAGCGTGTTCAACTAGCCTGCTGACCGATTTTGAGGGGTTTCGCATCTTAAATCTGGCAAACTTTGGTTGGTTGGTGATTTTGTGTTACATATCCCTGTAAATCCAGGCCACCATTCAGGTTGACTTTGGCCTACTCAAATACGAACATTAAGATTTGCTCTGCGTCTCCGAACTGAACATCACCCATCCCAATCGGAATATCTAATAAAGTCCAGATAGCCAGGACGCAGCCGTCGTGGGCCGTGGAGGCCGCCCACATCAAGTAGCACAAGGAGGATAACCAATTTTGTACTGGCCAAACATGTGAAATACATTGAGAATCAATTTACAATGTGTTTTGAATAGTTGCTGGTTCAATATTTGAAAGATGTTCAAAATAACTGCTCCATGACTCAGATATCTTCTGCATGACGTTGGGTATGCAGAACATAATTTGAATACATTTTACATGCTGTTCTGTCCAAAAAATGGAGCACATTGTATATTGGTTCTTCATGTTTTTCACATGTTTGGCCAGTACAAAATTAGTTATCCTTGTTGTGTAGGGTGACTTCCCGGACGCAGGAAGGGGGTTCGAATCCACCATACGGCATTAGAGGATCTTGTGGTCAAAGAAAGGGTTTTTGGTACTTGTCCATGGCCAGCCAGCCGACTGGTTCCGCAGCGAGTTTTTGTTCGTTCTTCTGAAGCTCAAGCCGAGTGGGGATGCACCAGCCTCCTGGGTAGGTCTGGTCGACGATGACTGACACGCTTACAGGTAATATTCAAACCATCGGGGTATAAACTCCCAAAGGCGAGGGAGAAAGCCCTTGTAAGCCGTAGAGGCCACCTCTATCAAGTGCACGATTTACAAGCCAATTGAGAGGGAAGCCGGTGGTTCGATTCCACCCGGCGACATCCATCACGAAAATCAACGGATTTTTTATTTCAAAAACCAGCAGATGTGTCTCAGGTCTTGGTTCATTCGTTCGTGTATCCGGGCCCACAGAAGTAAAAGGTGGCTCTGCTTGTAATACATTTACATGAACTTCAATCGGCCTAATAAATTCCGCAAAATCTGAACTCTTGGAGTCCCCAACGGTGTGCAGGTAAGCAGTTAAGCCTTCGTGGGCCGTGGTGCTTTGCCCCCAGTGGATCGAACGTTGAGGTCCGCTGGGAAATGTTCATGCAGGTAAATGCCGGACATTTCCTACTCAAAGTCTCTCGTTAGTTATTGGGCCACTTCCCGAAGACCGGATTGGGGATCCGGGAAAGGCCTCCCCGACAGGACGACTTGTGGGTCAAAAGCAAAATCAGAACATACTTGGGTAACGCCATCGAGTGGAATCGAACTACCGGCGTCCCTTTCGAAGGCACAGAAGGAAACTTTATTTGGTAGGGACGACCTCCACGGCCTACGACAGCTCAGTTATTGGGGCTGCTCGGTCAATGGTGGATGTTCTTGCATGTCCAATGGTTGGACACTGGGACTGTGTATAGTTGGGAGCCGGTGTTGGTCAATTGATCACCAGGAAAGTCAACTTGACCGTTGATGTCCCTCGTGTGTCTTCGCTACATCACTCATCTGGAAGGGAAACGAGGCAGCCGTATATTTGTTGGGCATGGGAAGATCAGCGATGGTCTGATCCGCAAACCGCTAATCTCCAGGTCGTGGGGACATGGGGATGAGCGAGAATGAACCCATCCCCAACCCCACTCTACGTACTGTCTGTCGACCTACAGTTTACGATCAGAAATCGATAAATCCAGGTTGCGGGTGGGCGGGGAAAAGAAATTGTTTCCAGGTTCTCGAAGGTGGAAGCTTGAAGCGGCATGGAGGCCTTTTTAGCGCTGTGTCATTGCGGTGTGGTAGTCAGGAGCAAGAGAATCCCGTCACCCGTCACTCCGCTGTCACAAGACATTGCACCGCCTTCCGCAGGCTACAGGAGGTGCGCCCATTTACGGGTCTTACATCCTAGAAAAGAGCTGTCCGAAATTCTTCAGAAAAATCCAAACATTCCCCCCAGGAACTGTTTTGCCCTCGATGGTTGAAATATTAAGGTCCATTGGAGGTAGTGTTGCCGCGACTCGATAAGTCGAGTCACGACTCCGAAAGGCGACTTAAAAATAGATTCGACTCAACTTGTAGGTCTAAGTCAACTTGGGTCGACTCAAGTCGACTCCAGAGCCCATTTTGAACAGTAGGGTATTTTTGTGATTCTGGCTTCATCTGCGGCGGTTTTACAAAAAATCACAAAAACGTGACAGGTGTCACCAGAGTGTTACGCGCTCAGGTCACGGTTAACCAAAATTTAAGAAATTGTTTTTTTGTGCTGTAAATGACTCAGCACACCTTCCTGGAATTTGAACCAGTAAGTCAACTTCAAGTCACTCGAGTCGACTTGTAAGTCAAACCGAGTTGCAATGGCGACTCGGCTCGACTCGGCTCAAGTCGGCTGCGACTTTGACTTCAAAATGACTTTGAGCTAAGTCGCGGCAACACTAATTGGAGGAGGCTACTTCATTCAAGTATAAAAGTTCCATAATTGTTACTCAAAGTCACTTGAAAAACTTCTTTTTTACGGGCCGTACGTAAATTTTCCCACTTGCCGAAGAGAAGAAGGACAGGGGATCCGTGGAACGGCTTGTGGGCCAAGAAAAAAACCGAGAAAATGCACACGCCGTTGGGTGGAATCGAACCATCACCCCCCGTCTAATTCCCCCATGCGGTCGTCAACATTAGGTCGGGCTGGCCACCACGGCCCACGACGGCTTGATTGGTATGCCTTCGAGCCTCGATAGTTCCGAATATCAACATCCAAGATTGTGGTAGGAGGGGTTCAACGTTAACTGCACAGTGCAGGTTCATGTCAAATATTAAATCTATTACTGTAATGTTAGCTATCTTCTGAGCCAAAATCAAGCTCAACCTCATCTTTCTCTAACCCGCCCAGCATTATTTTAGCCATACGGGCGCGTCGAATGCACGGCATGCGCGCACGCGTCCTATTTAGGAGATGGCACTAGTCAGGAGGATGTCTCGTGACCGCGTCACCTGTCTTGACGCTGTGCGCACGGAAGCGGATTCACTTTGAGCTTCGTTCTCCTTCCTCTCTTTGCATACCAAGGACAATTGTACATCCCGCAATGCCCGGGCTCAACGCCATTTAAGTTTCTCTGGCGCGCACGGAGGAACTCTCCGCGCAGTGGAGAGGGACGACCAAGAACTTTTTGTAAAAACTCAATCAGGATAGTTGAATTTTATCCGATTGAGTTCTGCTCAATCAGCCTGATAACGCTCAAACTCAATCAGCGCACATACCCGAAGCTGGTCCGCCAGAGCAAAGTTGGGACCTCGGCCCTTGAAGCACATTTGATCGGAATCCGATCAATGTCGGAGATTAAGACGGCGTCATTAACAGTCTGGTCGCCGATCCGGGTGAGAAGAAACTTGTTGGCACCTCCTCGCATCAGAGGTTAGAAATCAATGTACTGTACTATTTCGATCAATTCGGCGGTCACACGTCACGCACCCCCTGTGCTGCGACGAATTTTGGTCCTGGTCACTGGTCACGGCGCCCAGTGCTGAATGTAAAATCCGTGACATCCGGGCCAAATCTTCCTTAGAGGTGCAAAAAAGGCGAAATTTGTGTTCTTTTTTGTCTCGAGTGCCGAATTTTTGAGGATGTCACGCCAAAATTGGCTGGTTGCCGAAGTGCCGAATCGGTGTTTTCGGTCACGGGTCACAACCCATGCCGAATTGATTGAAATAGTACAGTACTCCAGTGCATTGCCTACATTGTCCGTTTTTTCTTTGCTAGCTTTGAATAGAAGTCTAATATTGAATCTTCGCTGTTAGTGGGACTGTCATGCCAAAGCGCCACTGTCAATGCAAGTTTGACACCCACGTAACTACTGCACCCGAACACTGCGGCGACCTTCAAGACCTCACGCTGAGCACTGAAGCCACTATCCTCCAGCTCATCACCAGTGGACTGAAATATCGACCAATCTGCATTTCTAGCAAGACCGCAATAGTTCATTAGGGAGCAAGATAGGGAAGCGTCGCCATCAGCTCATCAAGCGGCACATCAATCTAAGTTCGCTGGCCCACTTCCCCGGATCTTCTGTCACAGCCTTCTATATAATGTTATGCACGTTTGTCCTTCTTATACTTCTCTTTGCCCCGATACATTTCTCGCGCTACGACCCCCACGTCTGCAGCACTACATCCTCTTGGTCAGTTCTATCTCTTGTGTGAATTTGATACTGGCTGACACACCACTGTCCCTCATACATAAGATTCATACTTACGAGAATAGGCATGTCTCCTCAGCCCAGTGAATTCCACCTGACCATCAATGGTGCGAGAGAAATTGATTAGGATATTAACAACAATATTTATTTTACCTAGGAGGCAAGGGAGGTGATGGTGGAGACGGCATTGGACGAGGTCAGGGCGGTCAAGGAGGTGTTGGGCAGGGTCCCACAGTGCATTTCAATTACGGCGACAAGGAAGCAGAACGCAAAAAAATCATCGAGTGGCTTTCGCCAATCAACTTCTTTTTACGACAGGCAGATGTTTCACGGGA